TGGGGATCGCCAGATCTGGGATCGGTCGGGTGCCGTGGTCTCCCGTGGTCTCCCGCGGCCTCCCAGATGGTCTCCCAGATGGTCTCCCGGGTGGTCCTCCGCGCGACGTCCCGTGCGGTCTCTCCCGCATGGTCTCGCGCATGGTCTCCCGTGTGTGCAGCGCAGTGTTATGCGGTATGTACTCTGCAATTCTACCGCGCAGAGTCTTTTGCCAGCGTGGTGCATTTCCTCGTCTATTTTCGTGGGGTCCTCCGGTGCCGTCGCCGGGCCGTCGAGTGTTGACCATGCCGCCGGCACCCATCGGATTTGGGAGCAGTGAAGGTTCACCAGAGTGGTCGCTTCTCTCCTGCCTGCCCAGAGGTTTCTGACCCACTACTGCTCAAGCCATTCTCGTTCAAATCCGTGGGAGGTAGTCGCGCCGTGCGTGCCTGGGAAACTCTCGTGATACCTGTCCACGCCATGTCAACAGTTGGAGTGCAGTCTTCACTTGTCCCCCCTCTCCCCCCCCGCCCGCTTGCCTTTGTGTGCGCTTTGCCTTGTCAACCTCATATTTTGCCAGGCTCCCGTTGAGGGTATCATTCCGAACGGTTCGCTGATGCTGAATCCCATCATCATCATCATAATAATCATCATCATCATCATCATCATCATCATCATCATCATCATCATCATCATCAGCATCATCAGCATCATCAGCATCATCAGCATCATCATCATCATCATCATCATCATCATCATCATCATCATCATCATCATCATCATCATCATCATCATCATCATCCGTAGCCATTTTGGCTCAAGCCATTTTGGCTCAAGTTGGAACCATTGCTCCGTGGCTCCAGCTTGGGAGCAGCCGAGGAGCAGCTCGAGGGTCTCGGCAGATAGGCTGCCAGCGTCTCCCTGCACCACCATCCCACTGAGTGCATACCCTCTCTGCCCCTCTCCAGACCCGACCGCCATGGCGGTCGATATGGCCGCGATCCAAGCTATGTTTCAAGCTATGTTTGACACCCAGTTCGCCAAGATCGAGAAATCGATCGATGATAAGGTCGCGGGTCTTGCTGCCACTGTTGGAGTACAAGGTCAGATGTTGAAAGAGATCACCGACCGCCTCGAGAAGTCAGAGAATCGTCTCAATGCCATGGAACAGATTGCTCAGGTGAACGCCCGTTTGCCCCCTCTTGCTAACAGTCAAGGAGGTAAGCGCCGTGCAGTTGACAGCTCGGTTGGGGACGGGTCCACCACAGGAGGGAGTGCAGGAGGAGGATCGTCGCTTGAGGATGCCCACCGTCTGCTCATCCTTGGGTTCCAGGATCGATTGATGGCCACTACTCTCGAGAGGGTAACGAAGGACATCATCTCTAAGTGTGCGACCGTACAGGCAGCCAGTCTCATTCGAATTCGTGCTTATGATCCCCAGAAGAAAGTTACCCTGGACTTCCCTACCCCGGCCATGGCCTCGGACTTCCAGATGAATTTCAGGAAGCTTAGTGAGAGCTACAGTATGGTTAACCCACGGAATCAGCAGGATGTTTGGCCCCTTCGTGTTCGTCGTAACCTGTCTCCTCAGCATCGGCTTCTCTTCTTCAAGATGGGGAAGGTAAGGGGTGCGGTCCAGGAAGAGCTTTCCAAGGTTGGGTTGCAGGCCAATTCTAATGGAATCGGCGGGGATGTCTTCGGCCTTCGCTCGCGTGAAGATCCAGTTCCTCTCTTCCGCCTCACCTGTTGCCCTCAGAACTCGGATGTGATCCACCTTCGCCCAGATGAAGCAGGTCTTGACGCTCTTGGACTGAACGCTCCTGAGATCCGTGCGAAATTCGAGGCTGCGTTTGCCACTGAGCCCACGCGTCCCTTTTGAAGTTGAATCTGACAGGATAGGCCGCCCTGGGGGCCAATTTTTTCAGCTCCCCCCAGGGGCCTCCAGGAACTTTTTGGCGGGTGCTCTCCGCGCCCGAGAAGGCAGGATCGAGTTTAATCTTTCCTCCAGTTTTGTTGCTAGTAGCTCGAGCAGTTCCGACTCCGACTCGAGCTCTTCTTCACCCAGTGGGGGTCTGCCCGCTGATTCGTCGCTCCCCTTTTCCCCTCCCCCTTCCTGCTCTCTGTCTTTGCTCACTTGGAACTCTAGGGGGCTCTTCGCTTCCATTCACCACTCCCCCCTGCGGGCCTCTCGTCGGTACTAGCAGCTTCTGGGATTGTCTCGGCGTTCCAGTTTTTTGCGTGTGGCACTTTGCTGTTTGTCCTGGATTTCGACGACTGAGTTTAGCTCCCGCCCCACGCCTCCATCCTTTTTTAGCGAAGAGTCCTGGTTCCGATGTTTAACTTTTATTGCCACTCCCCCGTTTTTTGAGCAGCGATTAAGCTGTGCGGGCCTCTTGGATGGATTCCTCTTTGTCCATGCCAGCTTCCGTGAGGGGTCCAGGCCGTCGCCGACGGATCTCCTCAAAGGCCGCGTCCGTTTGCACACTCGGCGGCGCCCCAAGGTTGCCCGTGCCTGGCCTGCCTCTTCCTCGTAGCGGTCTCATATAACTTCTGCCCCCCCTGGGGCTAGTGGCTCACTGTCCCTCTTGGGGCCCGCGGAGTCGTATGCTGTACAAGTGCCATTCTATCGTCTTGTGGCTCTTTTCCTCCCGTGCCCCGCTGGGGGCAGCGGGCTCGGCCTCGCTCTCTGCTGATGCCCGTGTCGGGGTTCCCCGAAAGCTGCTCTCTCTGCTCCTCTCGGGGTCCTTTGCGTGGCCCGTATTTCCCCAAACAGTGCTTCTCGCGGCGTCCATTGGCTGTTGCAAGTGGCAAGCCTTGCTTCAGCTGTATTGGCCGCCGATAATTCCTCTTTAATTTTGCTGCCGCCAGGTTGCCGATGAAGTACCGCAAGGCCCCGCTTGCTCTCTGGAGAGAGATTTTGTGAGGGCAGGGTCTGTTCTCCTCGATCGTCGCCTGGCCACGGGCTTAGCTTCTGATTGGCCCTCCCTCTCTCTCAGGGTATGCACTCGGTGGGATTTTAGCAGTTGTGTTGCAGGATTTTTTTAGTCATTGTGTATTCCCCTTCCTGTGATGAAATGACGTTGTGTCACCTGTATGGCGCCCAACCTCCGAGTTGGTTTGGCATCGTTTGCGCCCGTTGCCTGGACTGGACTCACTGCATCGATTGTCGCCCCTCAGTGCCGTCGGTCCCTGGGGGAAGAATTCATCATCATCATCATCACCACCAGCGTCATCGCCATCATCATCATGATCATCATCATCATTGTTGTTTTCACTATTATCATTTTGATTATCAACATCATCACCATCCACATCATAATCATCATCGTCACCATCATCAACATCATCATCGTCATTATTATCATCATCGCCATCATCATTATCATTCTCATTATTATCATAATCATGACCTCTTTTTAAGCAGAGCCTGATCATCATAGTCATCGCCATCGTCATGGTCAGCGTCTTCGTCATCGTCATCCTCTTCTTCATCCTCATCCTCATCCCCGTCCCCAATGCCGCGCGATCACCAGAAACGCAATCATCATCACCACCAGCAGTGCCATCATTATCATCATCACCGTCATAATGCTGATCTTCATCATCATCATCAGCATCATCGTCACCACCATCATCAACACCATCATCGGCATCATCATCATCACCATCGCCATCATCATCATCATCATCGTCGTCGTCGTCATCGTCGTCGTCGTCGACGTTGTCATCTTCAGTAGCATCATCATCATCATCGTTTTGTTCACCATCTTCATCATCCACATCTACATCTACATCATCATCATCGTCACCATCACCATCACCATCATCATCATCACCGCCGTCATCGTCATCGCCATCTTCCTCGTCATCGCCTTTGTCATCGTCATCGTCATCATCGTAGTCGTCGTCGTAATCATCATCATCATATTCATCGTCACATGTATCTTCGTTATATCAATCATCATCTTCATTTTCATCTTTACCATCGTCCGAAGATTTGTCTTCATCTTCATCTTTGTGTTCACCTTCATATCTTCATCTCCATCTCCATCTTCATCTTTGTCATTATCTGTATCTTTCTCTTCATCTTCATCTTCATCACCATTTTCATCACCACTATCACCTTCAATGTCACCAGCATCATCGCCATAATCACCAACAACAATTCCACCATGACCATGACCATGACCATGACCATCACCATCACCATCACCATCACCATCACCAGCATCATAATCGTCATCATCATCATCCTCATCATCATGACCGTGATCATGATCACGATCAACATCGGCGGAATGGGGCGAGGCGGATCAAAGGGGAATGCTTGCATTTTTCCATGCGTGCGTGGCGGCGCCGCCACAAAGTCAGATCTGTGGCGGGGGATCGGGACATATGGTGAGCATCCCCTGCCGCACGCTTGCACGTTCCGCCGTACATTCTCCAACACAAATCTTTGAGACAACGTCTACAGACAGCGTTGCTGCGAAGAAACAACAGCAGCAAACCACCTCTGTCCCCAACCAGTTCACCATTCGCTGTGTAAAGTAAAAGCTTGCAGAGTATGTCGAAACACTACCGTCGTGCTTCGACCACTGCGTAAACACATGGATCCGCGCAGCGATGTGCACGGGTGTTTAGCTTGCACGGCGGCTTGAAGCAAACGTGCTCACACCATCGCGAAAACGCGCTGCACTGCGCAGTGGCCGTGCCCGTGCTTGAAGCACAGTACATGACATGGCAGCAGCTGAGAAAAGAAACCATGCATGAAACTAGGGGTGCTACAAGAACCTGACCACGGGTTCGTCCCTACGGTCTTGGCGGTGGCGGGGTGCTCCTGGTCCGCTGGGCCAGGTGGCGCCGCGAGTGGGTCCGAAACAGCGGCCGACGAGCTGCTCCCTCGAGGCCCATATGCTGCAAAAGTACCAATACGGCGACAATACAAGGGGTGAATGTTTTCGACTCACACATTGGGGAGTCATCGGATGATCTTTTCGCGTGTTACCCTTGGGTTCCGGGAGACCGCCTGGCCACCGATGCGAACGCGTACGAATACAGTTTCACGCTCGACCCGATCGAGTTTTCGAGGGATTTCTTCTTGTCAGGCCCTGTCAGGAAGGAGGTTTTCAACCAGTGCAGTTTTTGGGGATGCATCGACTCTTACTTGGAGGGGCCAGCGACAAATCAGCTGGCCACCGACGCGACCGAGTACGAGCCCAGTTTCACGCTCGAGGCAATCGAGTTCTTAGGTAAGGACCTCCTCCTGTCCATGGGTTCGGTCGGGAAGGAATTGTCCGAAGCGATCGACTCCTTTGATGCGAACCTCCCCTCGTCCATGAGCTCGGTCGGGCAGGAGGTTTTCGACCAGGGCAGCCTGCAGAATCCACCGTCGGGGTGGGAAGGCCCGCTCTACGGAGGCGCTGGGAGAGGCGGCGGCAGGACCACGCAGCGGGTCCGGGCCGAGGAGCCGCGGGCGCAGGACCCGCTCCAGACGGCGCAGATCGTCGCCGCGGTCGTTGCCGGGCTGCAGCGGGCGCAGACGGGCCCGCGCCGAGGCGAGCGCGCGCTTGTCGCAGCCCCGCGTGCGGAGGCGCGGCCACCGACGGCCACCAACACGAAGCCCCGGCGCGAGAGGCGCCGGCGGGAGGACATCCCGATCATCTCCAGGCTGCGCTCCCTGATGGCCACCGGGGACAGCGGCCAGAAGGTCACGCAGACCCAGGTTATCTCCAAGCTCCAGGAGGTCATCTCGACCTTCACCTCCGGAGTGCCGCCCTCGGTGCTGGAACCGACTGGGGCGGCACCGGCGAGGGATCAGCCCCAGGGACGAGCCCGCCTCTACGGAGACCCGTGGGGGCAGACCAAGATCGTCCCGTCCAACGCGGTCCGGACCACCCTCGAGCAGTCCGAGGAGCCCCTCCTCATCCTGGCGGCCACCCGCGCGGAGTACGAGCAGTGCGAGCGCGAGCGGAAGGCCCTCGGGAATCGCCAGAATATCACCTACGTTGTCTTGGACAGCAACGGGTCCGACTCGGTCCTCCTCGAGGGTCAGCGGGGCCCCCGTTCGGCCAAGGCCACCATCACCTAACTCAGCGACTCCGCGCCGAAACGCGCGGGGCTCCACGCCTGCATGAAGGACGACGAGCCGGTCGCCACCACCAAGCTGAAGATGGTCAACGTCCTGATCACGATCTCCACGGAGTTCGCCGATGAGACTCTCTTCCACATGGCTTCCGGGGAGCCGCAGACCACTCCTGCCCTCGTCCTGGGGGACGACCTGGCGGAGCGCGTGCTGCGCACCCGCGGTGCCATCGCCTGCGAGGCGGAGGTCACGTGCATCGTTTCGACGACCGAGGCCAACGCCGACTCCTTCCGGAAGGCCATCCCCCCGAGGGGGGCCTTCATCATGCAGCAGGACGCCCCTACGGCCACTCCCCCGCGCTGGCTCTCCCGGAGGGCCGACGAGGAGGACGCAGAGGGCGCGACTAAGTACCTGCAGCCGTCGGGGCAGCAGTCGGGGTACCATTCGGTGAACTTGTCGGTGCCGCTGCTGGTGATGCTGTCGTTGCAGCCGTCTGGGCAGCCTTCGGCGGTGCCGCTGTCGGTGCAGCTCTTGGTGATGCTGTCAGTGCAGCCGTCGGGGCAGGCGTCGGTGGACTCGTCGGTGACGCTGTCGGTGCTGAAGCGGGCGTGCTTGCTGGTGCAGCCGTCTGGGCAGCGGTCGGTGCATCTGTTGGTGCCGCTGTTGCTGATGCTGTTGGTGCAGCCGTCGGGGCAGTCGTCGGGGCACCATTCGGTGAACTTGTCGGTGCCGCTGTCTATGCAGCCGCGGGCGTTCTTGTCTGTGCAGTCGTCGGGGCAGCAGTCGGCAAACTCGTCGGTGATGCGAGTGCCTGTTGGTGCAGCCGCCGGGGCAGCGATCCGTGAACGTCCCAGTGGTGCTGGTGGTGCTGCTCTGAGTGCTGCTTTCGGTGCAGCCGTCGGGGCAGCAGTCGGTGAACTCGTCGGTGCTGTTGTTGGTGATGCTGTTGGTGCAGCCGTCGGGGCTGGAGCTGGTGAACTTGTCGGTACCGCTGTCGGTGCTGCTGCGGGTGCTGCTGTTGGTGCAGCCCTCGGGGCAGCAATCGGTAAACGTCAGTAATGTCATTGAAGCAGTCCTGCATCTGGTTGTGGAGCGCTCGCGAAATTGACCTCGATGCTTCTCGCTGGTGTCTGTGCTGGTCGAAATCGCCGCACCCTCTCGAGCTGAAATAGGTTTGAAACCACGGGAATGGGGCGAGAGGGGATCTGGGCGAATATTTGTACTTTTTTCCATGCGTGCATGGCGGCGCCGTCACAAAGTCAGATCTGTGGCGGGGGATCGGGACATATGGTGAGCATCCCCTGCCGCGCGCTTGCCCGCGCCGCCGTACACTCCAACACAAATCTTTGAGACAAGACGTCTACGGACGGCGTTGCTGCGTAGAAGCAGCAACAGCAGACCATCTCTGTCCCCAACCACTTCACCATGCACTGTGCGAAGTAGAAGCTTACAGAGTATGTCGAAGCACTATCGTCGTGCTTCACACTGGGCGGTTTGGATCCATGGAAGCCACCGGCGGCCACGGCGGTCACGGCGGCCGTCGGAACCCCGCACCATCTTGAGGCAGGCGAGGGGCGAAAAACAACAAGTGTTAAGTCGGGCCTGTCCCCCTACAGGCGGATGTTCGACGAAAAATCAGAAATAGTTTAAAAAATATCCCCAAATGGTCAACAAATATAGCAAAAAATCGTCCCCAGACTATTTTTTGACTGTTTTTCGAACATTCCTCCTGTAGGGGGACACGCCCGACTCGAAACAAGTGTGCAAACACTGATCCTCGGAGCTGCGATTCCGTGGGTCGGCGCTGAGCGCCCCTCCCTGGTGCGCGGAGCGCGCCAGGGGCGGCGCCGAAGGCGCCGCCAGGGAGGGGGGCCCGGTGCCGATCCAGGAAATTCTCGCGGAGCTCCGCATGCGTATTCGGGGACCAGACAATGACATAAACACAAAAGCTCGGAGGCCCGCCCGGATTTCTCGGATCGGCGCTGGGGCCCCCTGGCGGCGCCTCCGGCGCCGCCCCTGGCGCGGTCCAGCGCGGATCCAAGAGACCCGCGCGGACCTCAGAGTGTTTTTGTTTATGCCACTCTTCGTTTCCTTCTGTATCAGAGCGCGAATTACCTGCCCCGCTTTCGCTTCCAGGCAAAAAACCCTCCTCGTCAAGCGGCCTGACCAGTACAGGCCGCAATTTGGCATCGCTTGGTATCTCTTGGAAGCGAGGGTGGTCAACAGCGAGGTAGGTTTGTTTTCCCCCGAGTGTACACCCCAGGCGATGCTTAAGAAAACTTAAGTTTTCGGCCAGAGTCTCGATGATTCTTAATGTTTCAATGTAGATCCTAAGATTTTGAAGGAAATTCTGGGTTTTTACTCCAATTCTGAGGCTCTGGATTTCTTAACCCATGATTTCTTAAGCATTTCAGCATTTCGCAGGGTGTATGCTTGTGCAGTGCTCTTCCGCTTCGAGAGGGGCGGGCGCGCACGCCTCCGAGGGGCTCTTGGCTCGAGCCCTGGCCCGCTCCGCCTCCCGGCCTTTGCCGTGCCGTCCTCCCCCCCCCCCCCGGGGCGCAACACAGGGGCTGCTCGGAGGCCGCCGCTGCCGCCGCTGCCCCCCGCGGGCCCTGGCGCTCCCCTCGCCCTCGCGCTTTGGACGTTGCGTAATAGGGGGGTCATAAATTGGGGGGTGGCGAGGGTGGTCCGAAAAGGTACCCAAACGGTGCCTAAACGAGCCCCCTGGGGCTCCGGAGGGGCCCGAAAGGGGCACGAAAGGGGACCGTTTCTGACCCCCCTATTTGTGACCCCCCCATGAAGCCACGCCCAAGCGCTCGAGAAACCACCGGGTGGGCACGGGCACGACCCTGACCTTCCAGAGAGCTATTTTTTTAGCACCGGGGACCTAAAAAAAACAAAAAAGCTGAGCGAAACAGCCCAAGACCAAGACGCAGAAGAGCTTTGGGAGATGCTTTTAAGTCGGGTGCTACTTTTTAGCCCTTCTGGAAGGTCAGGGGAGCTCCCCCGAGGCCCGCGCAGAACCTCGTGCATCGCCGCTCGCTACCCCCCCCACGTCCTGTCGGCGCCTCGCTCCCGCGCCGCCCCCCCCCCCCGGGGGCGCGCCAGAGGGCGCCGGCAGGGAGGGGGGCCCCCGGCGCCGGCGGGAGAGGCCCGCGGCCCGCGCAGAGCCCCGAGAACCCGCGCTCGTGAGGCCTCCCTCTCTGCCCGCCGGGCCGCACCGTCACCCCTCTCCGCCTGCTGCTCGGGGGGCAGACAGCGGCATTGATATCATGTCGGGCCCGTCCCTCAACGGGGGGAATGCTCGAACAAGAGGTCAGAAGATAATCCGGGGACGATTCTTCGCGATTTTTTTTGACTCTGTTGGCGTACCTTTTTTGAGCGTTTTTTTTTTTTTCGTCCACAGCCCTCCTGTAGGGGGACACGCCCGACCTGACATAAGTATCAAGCCTCGGAGGCCCGCGCGGATCTCTCGGATCGGCGCCGGGCCCCCGGGCGGCGCAGGGGTCGGCGCCAGGGGCTCGGCGCCAGGGGGCCCCAGCGCCGATCCACGGGAGCCGTGGTGCTGACAAGTTATGTCTGTGTTTTGTTTTGTTGGGTTCCCCGAGTTGCATTTTCCAACGCCCCTTCCCCCCTAGACCAGGAAGGAGGGCGGACAGTCGAGTGCTCCCACCTGCACGCCCCTTTCTGCCTCGTGTGTGGCCTGTGCCCCACTTGCGTCCTGCGGCTGAAGCGTGTCCGCGAATCGGCTTGATCGAACCGAACTTTGCCCCCCCCCCGGTACCGGTAAGCTCCTAATTACGGCGATGGCGCGCCGGCGACGCCGGCGAAGGCGTTCAAGGTTGAAGTCGGTGACGTGGAAGCACCGAGGGTTATGGTGACGCCCGCCATAGGACCCGACGGACTTCAACCTTGAATGCTCGGGGCCGCGATCGGTGCAAGGCTTAAGTCGTGCCTGTCCCTCTACAGGAGGGATGCTCAAAAATAGTCGAAAAATAGTCAGGGGACGATTTATTGGATTTTTTTGTTGTTGTTTGTTGTTTTTTTTTGGGAGGGGGGGGCAATTTTTGAAGATTTTTTGGCTACTTCTAATTTCTCGTCTGAAACCCGCCTGAAGGGGGACATGCCCGACCTAATGCAAGGCCGAACGATCGACGCGGCGTCAGAGACCTCGGCGCGCGCCGACGCCGCACGAACCCACCGTGCCCCTCCGTCCTCCCGCCCCCGCCCAGAGCTCTCGGCTGGCAATGCTCGCTCGGCCTCCCCCTCGGCCTTCCCCTCGGCCTCCCTTCGCCCTCGCCCGCCCCCCGCCCACGCCCTCCCCTCCCCCCTCGCCCTCCCCCTCGGCCGCCCTTGCCCTCCCCTCGATCGGCCTCCCCCCCCCTCCCCTCCCCCTCCCCGCCCGCGCTCCCGCCCGCCCTCCCCCTCGGCCTCCCCCTCGGCCTCCTCGCAGGAGCGAGGGAGAAGGAGGTGCAGGTGCTCGAGTCCACGCGGGTCTCGACAGTGCGCACTGCGCGAGCGCTCGTGTCGCGAGGCCGGTCTCGCGGACTGGGGGGGTCGTATTCTATGTGTGCGTGGTTGAGCGCGTACGTCTTTTGTGGGCTCCCTAGCCTCTCCTCCTCC